AGTCGAGGGAGAAAAAGAAATATAAGGGAAGGGAAGTGAGAGATAAAGGACTTTGGTTGGTATAGTACGCAACGATGAAAATTTATTCGTCGCACGTGCGAAATATCAAGTTCACTGGTAAGACACTCGAAAGGTATATTATATGCAAGTTATATGCTAAGAATATTTCTTATTTCTTTTTTTTTTTTTTTTAATTTAAATTTTTTGTTGTTGTAGTTTAAAGAAAAAGAAAAATAAACGAACAAATAAAATTCTAAAGGCTCGAAATCTCGTTTTCCTCGGTTTTAAGCTCGACTTTTGGAAAAAAAAAAAACCCGTCGAGCTGAAATTTACTCGCTCCAATAATCAACAACTTCAAAGCGTCGATTAATGTTATACGTTTACCTGACGACCATTTTCATGCGTTTAGTTTTTCTTTAGAAAAAGTAGAAGTAGAAGAAGAAGATGAAGAAGAAGAAGAAGGACAACACCAAGAAAATTTTACCAATATAAATAAAATAATAATCGAAAATATAAACGTTTAAAATGATCGCCTCCATAATACGATAATAATCGAATAATTTTTAGATATTTCTTATGTTATTGTTGTTGTTGTTGTTGTTATTTCTGTGCCTTTATTTCTGACCAATTGACGAAAGAAATAATGACGACGAAGAGAAATTTTAGGTTCCCCGATACGTGCTGCAATACGTCGTCGTATCCCATTGCGGATATAACGATCGTTGTGGGCAGTGCCGTAGCGAGTATGCTGGACTCGATCGAAGAACGATCGACTGATAAAAAGGAAAGAGACGGGAGACCATGTTATATCTATGCGTAATAGGAAGTTAAGAAAAAAGAAAACACAGAAAATGAATATAAAAAAAAAACAACAGATATATTACAATACAAAATTATAATAATTATTAGGATGAACCAAAAGTTCGTGAGTTTATAAATTAATATTTCACTTGTGTGTATATATAAAGTAATGTTATTGACTTTAACAAAAAATTGCACTGTCCGAAACAACACAATAAATGCACGAACATTTTCTTCATCCTAATGTTATTGCAATAATATTTTGTAATATTTTTCTCCTTTTTTTTTTCGTTTTTCTAATAGTATCCATACATAAGAGAAAAAAAAAATAGAAGGGAGATGAGAGAAGCACATAATAAAATTAGCAATCAACTGTTATAGGGGGGTAAAAAAAAATCATAGAAGAGGGTAGTAAGTCTCGTCGAAAGGGGTTGACACGTGCGTGAAATGCATATATCACCTTTCTGTTCTTTTTTCGTCGTCATAGTCGTCATAGCCGTCGTTATAGCAGTATAGTCCTCTTGTCTTCCTTATTTCAATGAGGGCTACGCATAGCACAGGTGCGCGTGAGCGTGCAAGGATTAAGAGGACGTCTCTCGTTGTTGTACCTTCGCAAAAGATGAGAGCAAGTCTCTCTAACTTTGCAAGTAGGATGAAAGAGGAACAGAGAAATTAAGATAGATAGATAGATAGATGGAAAGAGAGAGAGAGAGAGATAGAGAGAGAACTTCGCTATACTTCAGCTTCAGATGTTCTCAACACGGTTAGTATGGGGCGCCGGTCAATACTAGCGCCGCGCAGTATGTTCAGTGCCGTCACCTATGCGCATTCACCCCTTGTTATTCGTCAAATCTATCTAATAGACAAAAATTCCTATACTTCATTTTATATTACGATTTTCATTTTATTCCAGATAACAATATCGAAGATTAAAATATGATATTTTTAATTTTACACATACAAAAATATCTAAATTAATTTTAATTATTTTCTTTTTTTTTTTTTTTAACAAGAGTTATTTATTAGAAAAATAAATTATAATCGAAGTAGAATATAATTAAATCTTGTCAAAATGTTGTCGATATTTTAAACAATTATTATTTCGAATGAATCAACGAATATCAGGGTTGAACTAGTTCAAAGATGTTTCTTTTTTTTTTTCTTCCTATTTTTATAGATAATCGTCATCATTAAACAACAAAAAATTGTGGAGAAAAATGGTGGTTGGTAAATCTAGGAAAGACTTAGGGAAAGAGAAATGAAGAAATGTTTATCGTTGAAATCGATCGGCCTCCTCGGCACCGCGTCAAAATCGTAGAAGCGGAGGGGACGGGTCTAGGATATGAGAATACGGTACTAGCCACCAGGAGAAAACACTGCGGCAATCGAAACGAAATACGGTCGATCGATGGATGAATCGAGCAACGTAATTGAAAATTGGACCCTTAATCGTGACGTCACTCTTATTCGCGACATTCGAAATCATCTGTTCGCAGTTTTATCACGGAATTGGACACTTACTGCGACATATTCAAATTGTCTTCTTCTTTTTTTTTTTTAAGACTATTATTCAGTCGAATTTTAATTTTACAAAAAATGTATTAATACAGAATTGCATATGAAATCAAAAATTAAGATAGAACAATCGTATGCTTCATTTTATTAAGGGGTATCTCTTAGGGGATAGATAACAAATGAAAAAAGAAAATGATATAGAATTTCGCAAATAGAAATGCAAAATTACGACCTATTTTTTTCTCCTCGTTTTCAACCTCGCATTAAGTAGTAATAGGCTATATTCTAGATACATTTCTAAGGAAGACACGGTACATTTCTAAGGAACACACACGATTCAAGTTTCGTAAAATAATTGATTCGTTATTGAATAGAATATAAAAGAAAAGGACAAAAATATAATAAAATAAAATAAAATAAAATAAAAAAGAAAATTCTAGAAAAATAATGATACCAAAAGATAAAAAAGAACAAAATAAGTATCGTATTTTGTCGAGGTATATTTTTGCAAGTAGTATTAGTCTTCCGTTTGATTCAGTAGTAATGATTTATTTTAGACAAACACAAAAATGTCTTCAAACATATGTAACAATAATTCGTTAATTTTTCGATTGTATTTATTTTTCTTAATATATATGTTTCTGCATAGAAAAAAAGAATGAGATAGAAAGAGAGAGAGAGAGAGAGAGAGAGAGAGAGAAAGGGAGAGGGAGAGGGACGATACGGCTGGTTATTTTGGCCGAGGCAGGAAGTCTTACGTACATCAAACGAATAGATTAACTCGTTCATATGTCAGTCACGTATTCGTCCATACATGGTGCTCAAAAATTCCTTAAGGCCTCTGATATTCTGTTTGATTCTTTTCTTTACGCTTGACCGATTGAAATATAAAAAATAAAAATAAAAAAAGGAAACAAGAAGAAGAAGAAGAAGAAGAAGAAGAAGAGGAAGAAATAAAAGTACAAGAGGAAAAAGAATTTGTTCATCCATGATGCAATTTTCTAACGACGAAGCTTTTCGAAGGATAAAACCGATAAAAGACGTATTTCCTTTATTTCAGCTTGACGAATTTCAATTTAGCGTATTTCGCGATATTTAACTCACGAGGTCAATGCTTCGAACGGAAGGTGAAGTGTAAAAGAGGATTATACAATGCAAGACAAGGCTCACCGCATTGCGACAAATAGCCATAACGTCGGCACGTTCGTCTTACGTTCGCGAGAATTTTCTTTCTCTATTTTACAGCTCGACTAATGTGAGAGATAATTTGTTTTTTCTTCGACTCCTTTTTTCCCCCGTTTTATTATTTTATTTTATTTTATGTTTTTTTCTTCGAACAAATTATATTATAGGGGCGGGAGAGGGGGAGGGGGAGGGGGAGGGGTAAAGGGTGAAGGGAAACGGGGTAATCGAAATCGATGATTCGGAAAAAGTATCGATAAAGTTTTGATGAGACATTTTTCGTTCGTTTTCCCATATCTTACGAAGATATCGATCTTCGGAACAATAAAAAGGTCTTTCAAAACTTTATCTTTTACAAAACCCAATCCCTTTTCTCAGCCTTTGAACACTTTATTTAACTTTTCCTAAGATCCTCGAGGTCTCTTTACAATTGATCCATAATTAATTGCAACCACGTACGTACGTAAGGGAACTATTTTAAGGGGTTCCATTATATTTTAAAGATTCGTTGCATTAGAGATATAAATTTTGTTTTTTTCGAAATTCCGTTAGAAAAATTTGTTCAAATATTATTAATATGTAATCATTAATGATGATTATATCGTGATGTAAGTAACAACAATCGTGATTAAAATTTACGTATTTTAAATTGTAGCTTCTTTCTTTACAACAAATGATACTTATCTACGTTCAGAATTGAACTATATCTTTAAGGGTAATGGCACTGTCTCCGGGGGAATAATTTTAACCTGATATAATTATCCAGTAGAGAGACCGTGGTAAAGCGCGTATACGTATATTTCATTGATCCGCAAGGGACACTTGAATCGTTTTATCAACCAACAGAGGAGAGATTACGCGAAGAAGAATTAATTTTGATTAGTGATAAATCAGAAGTTTGTTTTATTTCCAATTTCCTTGAAATAAATATTATCGCGAAAATATCGAAAATAGTTTGACAAGTATTCATATCGAGTTTGAATTCAAAATCCTTTTTCTCTCTCTCTCTCTCTCTCTCTCTCTCTGTCTCTGTCTCTTTAATACGTTAAATGGAAAAACAATTAGTACAATCTCAGACGATCAAATAATTTTGTAACATTTCCTGGACGCATACAAACTCTTTCTCCAATTCTTGGTACCCAACTTTAAATTTTATGCACACTAATAGTCTACCATCGAAGAATATTACTTTTAGTTACAGCAGTAGTAGTAATAGTAGTAGTAGTAGTAGTAGTAGTAGTAGTAGTAGTAGTAGTAGTAATAATAATAGTATCGTAGTATTAATAGTAATAGTATAATAGTGTTGGTGTAGTAGATGAGAAAGAGCGAGCCTACGAGATATCACCGTATCTATATGATCGGCTGGTGTAAAAAGCGTCGACGCACGGTGTAGGTAGGAACCCGGCTGGTTCCTTCGACCAATCGTGTACTTCCTTGCCCGGTGGTGGGGTTAGTTCTCGGGGTGTAAAAGTGGGGGCTACTGTGTGGACGATGCAGGGGGCCGCAGCGTCTGTTAGAGAGCCGGCAGCCCCGAACGCGAAAGCTGCTGCCGAGCTGGTTCGAACGTTTTCAAGCTATCGACAATAAGAGGCAGACCAGACAGACGGACAGATAGAAAACGAGAGAGAGCTAGCGAGAAAGAAAGAGAGAAAGAGAGAGAGAGAAAGAAAGAGAGAACGAGAGAGAATCGTGATAATAATAAGGAAGGAGTTTAACGGGAAGCTTGTTCATTCGAGGATATCCAAAGGCATAATTAGATTCTTTAACATATATATTTTTTTTTTGCGATTTGAATAAAATCTTCTCTCTCGTGTCTCGCGAACACAAATTCTCTCTCTCCTTCCTCTGTATAAACATACCTACATATATATACATATATAGACAGCAGATAGCAGCAAACATAGAGAGAGAGAGAGAGACAGATACGTATTATAATATACGCACGGAATCGTGTGCAACACGAAGAGAGGAGACCCGCGTTCGCGCCACCTGACGTCTCTACACTTCGCACAGACAACGACGGCTTGTCAAACGTCAAAAAGTAAGGATCGATCGAAGAAGAAGAAGAATAAGAAGCTGGTGCTTCTGATCCTGAATAATCCTTGTCGTTTCTAATTGTCATCGTGGTAATTTCATATTTTGTTTTGGAAGGAAGTACCTTCCAGGATACATCGGGTAACCTGGAATTAAGGAGGAGCGATACGTGACTGAGGTGAGTGGATTTTAATTATTTTGTGTATATATCCATTACAATCATCATTTTGCGTGCTGTGTTGTTGAATAATCTTAGGGAGTGTATGTTGTATAGATACACGAAGATCAAAAGACGTAGGTCAAGAAAAAGAGAAAAAAAAAATGAAAGAGGAAAAAAGTGTTAATTAAAGTTTATTATTATTTTTTTCGGTTATCTTATGGAGGAAATTCTTCTCCTCCCCCTGGCGAATAGGTCGTATGGATTTTATCGAAAGGTTACATTTGAATTGCGTCTGGATTGCGTTTAAAGGGAGGGGTTGTCGGTGGTGGGTGTGCACTGCGGTGGTGATTCTCGATAGAATTTCTTTTTTGCTACCAAATCCGATTGAACGCATAATAGAACTATTTCTTCAGACGTTAACGTAAAATGATCAAGTTCCAATCGTGTATTATTTACTATATCGAAGTATTATAATCAATTATTTATTTGTTCCCACGTAGCAGTGATTTTTTGTTAGTTATATTAAACAAAATCTACATTTCATTTCTTCATTTGATTTATTCCAAGAAAAAAAGAATTAGAAAAAGAGAGATAGGTACCGAACAGACAGTAGATAGACAGAGAAGGTGAATAATCGAGAGCTTTTTCTGGCCCTGTTAATATTATGATACTCACAGTCAGAATTTGGATCAATGATCTAACCTGCCGAGAACCGGCTTGGATCCTGCGCATTGGCTCGATAGGACCTACTCCTCGAAACTCTTTCTCCTTGCTAGAGTCTCACGTAAATCCTGCGCAATGCCGTGTGCCGATATCATCAGTCGAATAGCCTGAAGAAATATCTCATTTTAATAATTGTTTAAAAAGTGAGGATTTACTTAGCCTATTTAATAGTATCGATAGCAAATAGTGAGAGACTCGGGTAGGTTAACTAGAATGTCAATTCTTATTCAGATTCATTAAGACTAATTCTTTCTTCGGGTATCCGTTCGTGTAAAGGTTGAGCCTTTTCGTAAGGTTTCGATGGAACCTCATTGGTGTTCGGCTTAACCGAGAAGTTATAGCTGACGCGACTAACAACTATTTTACATCTTTCATGAAATTTTTTAAATAATCATTAGAATATTTTCTTTTTCTTTTCGTTTATAGAATTCATATACTTTTTATAGTATATACCTGAAATTTTTCTTTTTTTCATTTCTCGATATAAGTATTTTTTTTTTCAATTATGCCGGTATAAGGGAAAGAGAATGTCTAACCTATAAAACGTATAACCAGCAGTATCAGGCGTGTACCAAGTAATATAGTAATGCTCGCCAGAGTGAGCCACAGTCAATATTGAGGGGTGAATTACCACTGCGCCAACTTGTAGGTCCCGTGAAAGGGAAAAGTTACACTCTCTCTTCTCTTCCTCAACGGCTTCACTCGTTATATTTCTGTCTGAGATCCTTTGATCTAAGTAAGAAAGAGGAAAGAGGTCTTATCGGTGAATAAACTTTGCCGTTTTACGAGCAGTTTTATCGCAAGTTTTATCGACTAATTCGTCTTTTCTTCCCCCTGGACGTCTGCTTATTTGCTCGTTAGAAGCAGTGTCAGTTTAATTCCGAGACTCTGATTGGAAACGAATAGAAAGGAAATAAAAGAGGTAAATGACGAGTTTGAGAAATGAATGATGACATTTCCATTAATAAATATTAACTTTGAGCTTTTACAAACGTCCCATTTGAAATAAAATTGTTCCATTTGTTGAGTTGAATGAATTCGTTCGAGAAATCATTTAAATAGAAATAGGGGTAGTGTAGAAACGTAATAAATTTCATTCACTACCTGTTTCGATTATTTATTATTTTTCGATTTATTTATAAACGAATTGTCTACAATCAATTGATTTCTTTTTCAGCTATGAGTACAGCGGATCCCGCTGGGGAGGGGGGAGGAGGAGGAGGAGGAGGGGGAGGACAATCTGCAATAATACCTTCCACAAATGCCGAACAAAATGCAACACCGAGTACACCGATAACAAGCAGTGCAGTGCCTCCAGGATCACAGCAGCAACAACATCCACCACCATCACCCTTAAGTGGTTGCTACCTACTTGTGGTGCTTCCCGAACCCCATATCGCACAACATAAGGATCTTATTTTCAATCGTCTTGCCAAAGGTACGTACTATCACAGTTGTTTAATATATTTTATTTTTTAAATAAATTAATAAATCTTTTAAATCTGAATTATCAAAATTTTCTATTAAAACATCGTATCTTTGATAAAATTATAAAATCGATTATTATTCAATTATTCGAGCTATTGTTTTCTCGGATCACGTCGATGATAAATACTTTAATCATTATTTATTCTTTATTATTATTATTATTATTATTATTAGAATATTAAATGAATGAAATTATCAGCATATTTTACGTACCTATTTAATACCAGAATAAAAGATTTATTATTGGGAAATATATAATTGATAACGGTAATATACGGTAATATAATACATTATTAAAACATAGTAAAAGATATAACTTAAATCAATTGTAATGACAGACACGCGATGTTGTAATTTAAAAATGAAGATTTAACTATATATATATATATATATACGTATCTCATATATGTGTCGTACGACTTTCCGTTTATGTACGGGGATCTAACGGTCCTTTCTGCATTCGATGAACGTACGCGTGGGTTCTTTCTTCCGACTTATCGACGAAGCTTACTCAAACTACTTCGCGATAACCTTGTTGCTATGCGGGACATTACACTGTCTAAAGAAATATAAATAGCATCTGCCAATTGTCTAATATAAATAAATTTTAATGTTTTTCTTTTTTTTTCCGTTCTATAACATCATAATCGTTAGATATATCACATTATTTGAAATTACATTTGAGATTACAGTAACAGAGTTAATTATGCCAATTCATATATCGTTAATCGGATTTAACCGAGTTAGGAACATAGAAACGATCGTTTTATCTGATAATCAATAAATTCACATTTGTTATTGTTATCTAAATTTGCCATCTTGGTAAAGAAAATTTATCTATTTTATACGATAAAAAAGTGTATGCGTCGGATTGACGTTTGTGATAAAACGTGACAAAAAGAGGGGTTGAAGAGGGAGAATATGAGAATGAGAAAGAGAGAGAGAGAGAGAGAGAGCGAGAAGGAATGAGTATTCGAGCTTTCCGCATTGCGCCAGCGACGATTCTTATAAGTCAATTTGATTCTTTTCCTTTTTTTCGCAAAGGATCGAAATCCTTTTCCTTTTCTAAGAGAACGTAAAGAAAATATTCAGGTTTCTTTTTACTCGTATACATATATACTTTTATTTGTTTTTTTTTTCTTCTCTCGTTCTATATATATGGATTTGCATTTTTATAGAAAATTATCTTCCATTAGCATTGAAATTTAAAAAAAAGAAATCGATAATTGATAATTATGCGAATTCTTATTGGTATAAACGATAATTCATTTTTCTTTTTATCAAAAGAAAAACAGGAAACCTGGAGGGATAAAGATGATTATGTATTGAAGTATAGATACGTTATCGTTATCTTCCATTAGCATTGAAATTTAAAAAAAAGAAATCGATAATTGATAATTATGCGAATTCTTATTGGTATAAACGATAATTCATTTTTCTTTNTTTTCATAGTCGTTGAATTTAAACTTATTGATCGAAAATTGTTAAATTTTTCTCAATAATAAGAGACATATTATAAATAATACCTTTTATGTGTTTCTTTTTTGTAGAAAATATAATTTTCGAGTCACTTTAAACGACAGTTTAAATATTCGTAACGTATATGAATGTTTGTAAAAATAAACAAAATAAATTGTTTATATAGAAAAATATTTTGTTTATATTGGTAAATTCTCTCTATACTCGTTTATTATTATATTTGGCAAAATATAATTCTTCGAATATGAATTTATTATTTATTTCTAGAGAAAAACACAAAAATTACAGGAGATTTAACGTATAAATATAATTATATATATATATATATATATATATATTTTTTTTTTATTTTATATACACAAATTATTATTAATGTATAAAAATTTTGTTAAAATAACAATGCAATTTTCAATAATGTTTGTCTTGGAGGAACCGCAGTTTTTCTATTCTTCGCGATAAAAATTTTGTAGAAAATAAAAAAAGTCAAAAGAGAGGATAAAGGGAAAGGGTTAAGAAAAGGGGATGAAAATAACTTCGTAAAAATGTACGTACAGTTTTTGTTTCTCTTTCTTTCTTTCTCTCCCCTTTTCGTCTTTTACTTGATTTCGATTTGAACGTTGATGGTACAAGTACATAAGTCGTCGTCGTAAGTTTTTTTTTTCACATTGAGTGTCGTCGTATCTATATATTTTTTTTTTTTTTGCGGGTAAATTTAGCGTTAAAAGAGGGACGGAGAAACGATGAACAAGAATGAACAAGAATGAACGCGAGAAGAGGAGAGAAAAGATGAGTGTGCGAGAAACGGTGATTCTGGCGATGACTTCACTCTATTTCACTCGACACATTCTTCTCCTATTCGTATTAACCCTCTATAAACCAATTTACTTTAGTCATATTTAAAAAAAAATTTGAAAGTTATAAAATACATATATATATATATTCTATTAACAGTGTAATTTATACTTGACAAATACTGATCTTGAAATATGAGTTAATTATTTATTTTTATAGATATATTATAATAAACTATAAAATTAAATTTAACTAATATAATAGGAATTATATTATATATATATATATATTTATATATTATAATATATATTACAATTATAATACAAATATAAGTAGGTGACTAAGAAGTTACATACAAAGCTGAAGGAAAATTAGAAGAAAGGAAAAATTATTTCAATTTTACATAAATGTATCATTATTGTTTGCACTTTGAAAAAAAAAAATAATAGGTCTGAAGTAATAAAAAAAAAAAAAAAAAAAAAAAGAAGAAAAAATCAATCGATAGGCAAACGAACCAAAGGAGGGTTTGATCTTTAAAGTTACGGGCACGCGAGTAGACGAGACATGTGTATATATGTAAGTATGTAAGTGCGTGCATACATACATACTTACATACATATATATATATATATATACTTATACATATAGAAGAATACGAGTGGGTGTGTGTGTTTGTCTCCTACCGTTGCGACAGACAGAAGGGTTGCAGGCTTTAAATGCCTGTTTATATTTATAGAGCTCGGACGTGCACTTTTCGTGGAACTTCTTTACCCTCCCTTTTTACACCGATTCTATTCCACTCCTGTATATATATATATGTATGCGGTAAATGTATGCATGCATGTATCCATGTATGTATGTATGTACGTATATAYACATATATAAGTATGTATGTATTTATATATTTATGTATGTGTATCCATGCCGACCACTTCCGACTTACAATCCCCACCCTTTCTAATACTACTCCTCCCTTATATCTTGTTACGTTTATTCTCTCTCTCTCTCTCTCTCTATCTATCTACTTTTGAAAATGTCTATCTAGAAACTATCTCCTTCGATTTACGATCAACTTGATCGTTACATATTTCATACCAACTAGCGTAATAAATTCTTATTTGGACTTTTAAAATTCTCACCATAATTTCGTTTCTATCTATTTCTTTATTTCTCTCTCTCTTTCTCTCTCTATTTCTCTTATTCCTTTTTGCACGTGTTAGATTTATTCGCGTTACTGTTTTTTTTTTTTTCTCGGAACACTCCACCACGACACGCAATTCGTGGGCGTAAAGGAGGACGTAGGTTGTTGGATCGAAAAACATTCGCGACTAGATATATATGTATATATTTATATGACATAATAAATTTTCTCAACACTAGAGAAAAGGTTATTGGTAAAATAGCATTTTGTTTTGTTCATTTTTGTATTTATTTATTTTTTGTTTTTTTTTTTACAAAAATTTTGCGGATTTCAAATGAAGGGTTAAGTCTTCCTGGTTTGTTTCTTCATTCCTTCTTGTTTTTTTTTTTTTTTTTTATTTATTTTTACGTTTCCACGGGCCAACTACTCAGTATTCCGGGAAAATAAGGGAAAAGGGAAAGAAGGGTACGAATGAAGAACAGAAGGGTGGTAATCGTATGGTTCAATAGCACGCATCTGAATTTGTATAAGGAACATGGGCGTGGTTTAATATTCGTACTCGTTAATATTACCATATGCATGCATATGTATGTTTGTATGTATATACATATGTATTACATATATATACATACTATATATATATAGTAGAATAATTAATGAAAAAGAAAATGTTCTTTTTTGTTCATGGTTTAAAAAGTATAGGGTGTCGAACATTTTTGAATATAATTTCTTGCTATTATACGTCAAAATGATACCCATAGAAAGGTGCACAAATGATATATGGATATAGCAAAAAAAGAGACATCGTTCTATTTGCGAGATAATCGATAGGTCGTATTTTCACATCGTGCTTCGGAGGTCATCGCTTCCAAATACCACCTGATTGTTCGTCAAAGCAAACACGACTCCCATCGATATGTAAACCATGTTACAAGTGTGTTTGTACATTTGTATATGTACATATACGTATACGTATACGTATATTTAAGTATCGCAAAGTGTATTATGTATCTTAGGTATAAAACATACGTATGTTGATGTATGCTTACATACTTATATACACGAATGATCGCAAAAGTATATATATATATATATTTTGTTACACATTCACGTGCAAGGCTACATAGTACACTCTCGACAATGTTTGAATTATCGACTCACCGAAATACCAATAGGTCAATGCTTGCTCATCTTCGTGTGTTAAAGCTTGATTTAACACTATAATTAGAGTTTGAAAAATTTCGACAAAAAGGAATAAACTTACGAAATAAATTGTCCACACGATTTCTCGTTTCTTTTTCTTTCTATCCGAAATCGATCGATCATCTTCGTCTAACCTTATTTTTATTCTATTTCTAGGGGTTTGCATTTATTCTCAAAGTTGAATATTAATAAATCATATAGGGTCTTCTTCTTCTTCTTCTTCATTTCGATCGATTTCAATGACTCAGGTTATCCTACCGTGAGAAAATTTGGTTAGCCGTTTGCTATTTTTATAAAAAATTATTTACCATTGATTGTGTAATTTTTTTATTTTT